GTTCAGATAGAACAAGTCTTCGTCTTGTTTTGTTTTTGTCTGATAGCCACAGTGAGTTTTGGTGCTACAAACCCAAATGATGTCAAAGTTTTGAATGATTTCAGAAAAGGGTTGGAGAATCCTGAGCTTTTGAAGTGGCCGGAGGACGGAGATGATCCCTGTGGTCCTCCTTTATGGCCTTTCGTGTACTGTTCTGGAGACAGAGTCTACCAGATTCAGGCAAAGAATCTTGGTCTTAGAGGGTCATTGCCTCAAAACTTTAACCAACTCTCAGAACTCTACAATTTGGGTCTTCAACGCAACAACCTCAGTGGGGTGTTGCCCTCTTTTAGTGGATTATCCAAATTGGAATTTGCTTTCTTGGATTACAATAAATTTGATTCAATTCCATCTGATTTCTTTAGTGGGCTTAGCAGCCTTAGAGTCTTGTCTTTGGAAGAAAATCCACTGAATATGAGTAGTGGATGGTTGTTTCCCATGGATTTGGAAAAATCAGTGCAGTTAACCAACCTTTCTCTGGTGCAATGTAACTTGGTTGGACCGTTACCGGATTTTCTCGGCACATTGCCATCTCTCACAAATCTGAGGCTTTCAGGTAACAAGCTGTCTGGTGCCATACCTGCAACTTTTGCACAGTCTTCAATCCAGGTTTTGTGGTTGAATAATCAAGAAGGTGGTGGGTTGAGTGGTCCTATTGATGTTATTGCTTCAATGCCTTTCCTTAGACAGGTTTGGCTACATGGAAACCGATTAACTGGGTCAATTCCTCAGAATATTGGAAATCTAACTTCCTTGCAGGAACTCAATCTCAATAGCAATCAACTTGTTGGCTTGATTCCAGAGTCTCTGGCACTTATGGATCTTGATATCCTTGTGTTAAATAACAACATGCTAATGGGTCCAATACCAAAATTTAAGGCTGCCAATGTTTCTTATGATTACAATTTATTTTGTCAAAATGAGCCCGGACTTGAATGTGGCCATCAAGTTACTATTTTGCTGGATTTTCTAGATAAGATGAATTACCCTTCATTTCTCGTTTCTGATTGGTCTGGTGATGAACCTTGCACGCGCAGCACAGGGTCATGGTTTGGATTGAGCTGCAATTCCAACTCAGAGATATCTATTATCAATCTACCTAGACACAAGCTAAATGGTACACTAAGTCCCTCACTTGCTAAGTTAGATTCACTCCGTCAAATTAGGCTTTCAGGAAATAACATAACCGGCTCTGTTCCTACTAATTTCACCAAATTAACATCTTTGGAGTTGTTGGATTTAAGTAATAACAATCTTGAGCCTCCATTTCCAAATTTTCATGATGATTTGAAGATTATTATCACGGGTAATCCCCTTCTTCTGAATAAAACTGGAGGAAGTCCCAGTCCTATGCCTATTAACAGCCCACCTTCACCACAAGATCCATCACAGCCTCCATCCTCTCATAAGCCACCTATTCCAGATCAGAGTTCAAGAGCAAATCAATCCAAGCCTAATGAATTGAAAAGATTCAAAACAGCAGCAATAGTGGCTGGAGTTGTATTGCTTACTCTTGTAGCACTTTTGGTTGTTTATTTCTTGCTATGTTGTAGGAAGAAGAAAAAAGCCTCCTTAGATGCTCCAAGTTCCATTGTGGTCCACCCTCGCAATCCATCTGATCCAGACAACATAGTTAAAATTGCAGTTTCGACCGCCACTGGAAGTTTGTCTACAAAGACTGGTACAAGTTCTCTGAGTAACATCAGTGGTGAAACTCAAAACTCTCACATGATTGAGGATGGAAACCTTGTCATCTCTATACAAGTACTACGCAAGGTTACCAATGAATTTGCTTCAGAAAATGAACTAGGTCGTGGAGGGTTTGGGACTGTTTACAGGGGGGAACTTGAAGATGGGACAAAAATAGCTGTGAAGAGAATGGAGCATGGGGTTATTACCAGTAAGGCAATAGAGGAGTTTCAAGCAGAAATAGCTGTTCTTTCCAAGGTACGGCACCGCCATCTGGTATCCTTGTTGGGGTATTCCATTGAAGGCAATGAAAGACTTTTGGTTTATGAATATATGTCTCGTGGAGCTCTAAGCCAGCATCTTTTTCATTGGAAAAGCTTGAACCTGGAGCCTTTGTCTTGGTCAAAGAGGCTTGCAATAGCACTAGATGTTGCCAGAGGGATAGAATACCTTCACAGTCTTGCCCGTCAGACTTTTATTCATCGAGATCTTAAGTCTTCTAATATCTTATTGGGTGATGATTTCCGAGCTAAAGTTTCAGATTTTGGTTTGGTGAAGCATGCCCCAGACAGTGAGAAGTCTGTAGTTACCAAGCTTGCTGGGACATTTGGATACCTTGCCCCTGAATATGCAGGTATGACTTGCTTAAAATCACCTCTTCTGTCCATGATGTATATGTAGAAATTTAGCATAACTGCCAAATGGAATCATTATACCCTCTCTGTATGTTAATTTATATTCAGTTACATTGTTCTTAGATGAAAACATCTTAGTAGTGTGCAAGAGGTCTCTCTTTCTGTCTGTATTTGAAAAAGTAAAAGTTAACAAGGAATGATGTCTAATTATATGTCATAATGTTTCAAATTTGTAAGCAATGCGGTACTTGTGTCACTCATCTAACAGTTGGTCATACCATTGCAATGTGTGACGTTTTATCATATCAGTGTGTTTGATTTGCCTGCCTAGCTTTTCATACTATGTATCGATGTGTTTCAGTGATGGGGAAAATCACCACAAAAGTTGATGTGTTCAGCTACGGTGTGGTTTTGATGGAACTTCTGACTGGACTTGTGGCACTTGATGAGAGCCGACCAGAGGAGAGCCGGTACTTGGCTGAATGGTTTTGGCGAATTAAATCAAGCAAGGAGAAGCTTATGGCTGCCATTGATCCAGTTGTGGAAGCATCTGAAGAAACTTTTGACAGCATAACTATTGTAGCTGAACTTGCTGGACATTGCACTGCAAGGGAAGCACATCATAGGCCAGATATGGGTCATGCAGTCAATGTCCTATCAGCATTAGTGGAAAAATGGCAACCAGTTGATGATGAATTAGACTGCTACTCTGGCATCGACTACACAAGACCACTTCCTCAGATGTTGCAGATTTGGAAGGAAGCAGAAAGCAAAGAGTTCAGCTATGCTTCTAGTCTTGACAACAGCAGAAGCAGTATTGCAGCCAGGCCTACTGGGTTTGCAGACTCTTTTACTTCTGCTGATGCAAGATGATCTTTAGGCTTATTTAGTGCAATTTATGGATCCTGTTGTTGTATCCTTATTCAAATTCACTTGGATTCACCACGTCTGTTTCTTCAGCCAAGAGGCAAAAATCATGTCTCTGGATTTTGTTCTGTTTTTGGACATTAAAATACCATAGGAAGATGTAGATAAGTTATACATGTTTTCTCTTTATTTTGTCTTATATACAAGAACACCAATTTCTACGTGATAGTAATGATTCTGTGTAACAAGTCACATTCATCTATGTTGTTATCCCATCCATCTTATTATGGGAGGTGTTATCATTGAAATGCTTAGCAGAACAATTTATCCATGATATTTTCCACCTGCATTGATAAATTAAATATGGTGACACATTTTTAGGCACATGAAGTCTTGGTAGCCTCTTTTGTGCCTTTTCTTCTCATTGAATCTTTCCCTATGTTATATCAATCCAAAGAGGGGTGAAGCCTTTTGATAGATAACAAAAGGCTAGGAATTTGTCAGATTTGTCACTTGAAATTTGTTGTGTTCATACTGAGGAGAGACTGAGTTTCAACAGTGAGGGATTTTATGGGAGAGAAATAGAGTTCAATTCAGGAAAATTCAATCATTCCTCTTCTGTGACTTTCAATTACTTGAATTCTAAAATGTACAATATGGTGAAAACAAACTATAACTTAAGAATTCATAGAAGCTTCTATGCTTGAGAATTCTTATTTTCTTGTCTGTCTTTATTGTAGCTAGCAGCTGCTACTTTTGCAATGCATCTCTTAGCTACCTGGCTAGCACGACTTCCTTGTTTCTCTCAGCCTCATAATAGGCTTGCTTTACTGTGGTTTGTGTTCAAAGTCCTTGTTTATTCCATTGGCTATGCAATCTTCTTTTAAGTTTTGAAATTAATAAACTTCATTATAGAGGCCAGTCTCTGTTATGCTATTACTTGCCACAAGAAAATAGAGTCGTACGTTTTTCTTATCAAAACTTGCTTAACTAATGTGATAAGATAATTTCCTGGTTTTTCTACTGGTAATTTTCTCCTTTAATGTTACAGCAGACTCCTTCAGTCGTGGAATCACATTGATAAAGTTGTTTGATAGATAAAACTATTTTTGGTTTTAAGGAACTCAACTGCAACTGCTCTTTAATGATTTGAGCTTTACTCATTTGCCATACTAATACTTAAACTCTTTCTCTTTGATGACATTTGATTCTTGCCAAATCCATCAACGTTCAGAATTCTTAGAAATTTTTGGACTATCTACGTTAATGTTACATTTTTAGTATGTTTTTAGTTTTAAGGAGCAACTACAGAGGTGATTTAAGTTTGAATACTAAGTTGGATGAGCTTGTTTCTTTGGAAGTATCCGTAATTTCTTTTGTCAAACTTTTGATACATTTTCTCTTTCAATGCACACTCGTGTCTGAAGCTTTGTTAATTATGTATTTTTGTGATCCACTTCATGTATTCTGTCATTTGATAATATAATGCACAACACACTATATGAAAGTGTTTTCTTCACATAAATAATGTAATGACACAACATTCTAGTGCAACTACTTGATTCTCTTTCTAAAATTAAAATAAAAACAGTGAAAACTACACGTTTTAGGCATAATTTAATTTTAGATTATAGAAAAAGTAATTTGTATACAAATTTTAAGTTCCTTATCTCCATCCAACAACTTTCTTTTTAACAACAATAAATGAGAGTAACTCAATCCACCTTACCTATTTAGTGTGGTGGGTGCAGCTAAACAAGAATTCAGTCTTTTAGCTCAAAAAAGGGCGAGTCAACCCATGTGCCTCAGTTTTCTTGGACACTCCAAATGTTAACATTCCACACAAATGTGAAATTATGCAACAGCTAAAACTACTATTTATATGCTTGAAGAAGCACTGTTCAAAAAATTGATGATCCTCAAGAAGAATGATCCTTCCTGCGTGCGCGATTAAGCCAACTCAGCTTCCCCACCCTCCAAAACCATCTTCACCAATTTCAGTTCCAAATCAAACACACTTCAACACCAATCAAAGCCTGTCTCTAAAACACACTACAAAATACGCTGACCCCATTGTAGCATGGACATCTTCCATAGCTCAGTATTGCAAAGGTGGACATTTCGTTAAAGCTGCCTCCGAGTTTGTGCGCATGAGAGAAGCTAACATTGAACCTAATCATATCACTCTCATCACACTCCTCTCTGTTTGCGCTCATCATCCTTCGCAGAGTAGTATTTCCTTTGGAACTGCCGTACATGCACATGCGTGCAAATTGGGCTTGCACGTGAACGATGTCATGGTTGGGACTGCGTTGATTGACATGTACGGTAAATGTGATCGTGTAGATTTCGCAAGGTTGGCATTCAATCAAATGGGTGTCAGAAATTTGGTGTCTTGGAACACGATGATTAATGGGTATATGAGGAATGGGAGAATTGAAGATGCCCTCCAATTGTTTGATCAATTGCCTGTGAAGAATGCTGTCTCTTGGACTGCCCTAATTGGTGGTTTTGTGAAGAAGGATTTTCACGAGGAAGCTCTGGAGTGCTTTCGAGAAATGCAGCTAGCTGGGGTAGAATATGATTATGTGACTATTATTGCTGTTATTGCGGCGTGTGCGAACTTGGGCACACTCGGTCTTGGCTTGTGGGTGCACCGACTTGTGATGACACAAGCTTTCAGGAACAATGTTAGAGTTTCCAACTCTTTGATAGACATGTATTCTCGATGTGGATGCATAGAGTTAGCTCGTCAGGTGTTTGATAGAATGCCCAATAGAACTTTAGTGACGTGGAACTCAATCATTGTGGGTTTTGCAGTTAATGGTTTTGCGGACGAGGCTCTGAATCACTTCAATTCAATGCAGGAGGAAGGGTTCAAACCAGACGGAGTCAGCTACACAGGTGCTCTAACGGCGTGTAGTCATGCAGGCTTAATTAACGAGGGACTCAAAATCTTTGAAAATATGAGGAGAGTTCGTAGGATTTCGCCTAGAATCGAGCATTATGGTTGTTTAGTTGATCTCTATAGTAGAGCTGGGAGGTTAGAGGAGGCATGGAATGTTTTGAAGAATATGCCCATGAGGCCAAATGAAGTTGTTTTGGGGTCACTGCTCGCAGCTTGTAGGACTCAGGGGAACATTGGGTTGGCTGAAAATGTCATGAAATATCTTATTGAATTGGACCCAGGGAAAGATTCCAATTATGTGCTTCTTTCTAACATATATGCAGCAGTTGGAAAGTGGGATGGCGCGAGCAAGGTTAGGAGGAGAATGAAGGAACGTGGGATACAAAAGATACCAGGGTTTAGTTCTATTGAGATTGACTCCAGCATTCACAAATTTGTGGCTGGAGATAAATCTCATGAAGAGAAAGATCATATTTACGCAGCATTGAAACTTTTGTCTTTTGAGCTGCAATTATGTGGCTATGTTCCAGATTTCTCTGGAAAAGAATGTTACGAGGACGATTAATTTTGTAACAGACGTATTAGTTCAGTTCAAGAAAGTAACCGATTATACAAATGTGCTCTCTCTTTTGTAACTACATATACCAGTTCAAACTGTTTATAAACTGGGACAAAATTTGGAAGACACTGGTTATTGCGTCTCATATTAAAGGCCATAAAAAATATTGAATATATATGAAAGAATGTACACAATATCTAAAGTATGGCCATGCAAGACTGGAAAATGCTTATCCTTAAGCTGCATGCATTCTCTGATGAACAAAATCCACGTACAAAATTTTTTAATTAAGATGCAATACTAAGTTCCTTTCCATAAACCCTCTCTGCTACTCTCTCAGCCACCTCAACCTTCCCATGAGTTTTACAAGCTGCCAGCAAGGCACGCCACAAAACCTGATCAGGCTTAACCTCCATTCTCCAAATTAACTTCTCTGCTTCCTCAACCTGACCAACCCTCCCCAACATATCCACCATGCACGTATAATGGTGCAGCTCAGGTTTCATTCCAAACCTTACCTCCATCATCTCAAAATATTCTCTCCCCTTGTCTATTAACCCACCATGACTACACGCACTCAAAACCGTAGTAAAAGTCACACCATCAGGCCTCTCCTCTGCGTCCACCAATTTATCAAACAGTTCGAACACCTCCTCACACTTCCCATGCATTCCATAACCCTTCATCATGGTTGAAAACGTAATCTCGTTCCTTTGCCACATTCTATCAAACACCTTGCGCGCACTAACCAAATCCCCGCACTTGGCATACATGTTTACCAAAGCATTAGAATTTGCCAAGTCCAAGCCAAACCCATTAATCAAAACAGCCCCATGGACCTGTTGCCCAAGCCGCAGAGCCGATAAACCAGCGCAAGATTTCAGCACCACAGGTAACGTGTGACGATCAAAGGGCTTGTGAGCAAGCACCATGTCGTGAAAGATGGAAAGGGATCGAGCGAAAAAGCCGAGAGATGAATTTGCTCTGATGAGAGAGTTGAAAAGAAAAGTGGGTTGGCGAATGGTGAAGGAGAAGATGATATTGGCTTCGTGCAATTGAGCACAGCAAGCGTAGGAAGACACAAGCTTGCTTCTAATGAAGTCATTGCTTGAAATGCCTAATTTGATGGTCATCGCATGAATTTGTTTTATATTCTTCAAGTGCTTCGCTGAAGAGCAAGCGTCGAGAAGTGTACTGTAGAGAGGCACGAGTTCGCGACTATTAGCCATCATCTTAACAAATACACCATGAACTTTATATAATATTATGCAGATGATGTGAGCTAAAAGTTGAAAACAGCAAGTAATGCGAACCCACCGCGTACTTTTGTGCAGAAGATCCAAGTCTTCCCCTTAACATCTCAACCAAACCAGTTTCTCATGTTAACAATTTGAAATTACGATTTATGTTAAAAGATACAATATCACACAGAAATAATTTCTATCACCCTTTAACCTCTCTCTCTTGTATTAAGAATCTACCCTTCTTAAATCATTGTCAACCATATGCTAACCTAATCCTAATTCCAATTACTTTTTTTTAAACATTTACATTCATTTTATGTTTCAAATTAAAGGCTATAAGTTTAGGTAAAAAATATTTGTGTTCAACTCATTGAAAAGAAGGAAAACATAATCCAAATGGTTTATTTCCATTAGTTATGTCATTTTAAGGGAAGAATAATAAAAACTATAAAGAAATATTCAAGTTAAAATATATTAAAATAAATTATAAAAATGTAAATAAGTTAATTATATTTTATTTAATGTTTTAATATTAACTATTTAATTGTTTTAACATAGATAAGTAGTTATATATAAAATTTAACACTTTCTTCACGAGATTGCAAGTTAAAAAAAAGTTACATTTTTTTTCATGTTTTTATGCATTGGTTAAAATAGAGTTACACTCTTAATTAATATTTATATAATTATAAGTCTAAATTAGTGTTGTCAAAACCTAGCTCATTTATTAGTAAGCCGAAAAATTTCAATTTCAGTCTGGCCCACCACAGATTAATGGGTTAAACGGGTCGACTCATTTAATTACAAGTTTTTTTTTAAATTCAAAAAATTACATTTTTTCTTGTAATTCAAATCTAAATAAATTTCATTCTAAAATGATTTTAAACTCAAAAAATAATTCAAAATAAAAAAACGTACCATACAATCTAAATGAAATCCAAAAACAAACACAAAAAGCGAATAAATAAATTTATAATAATATTTGTGTCATTTATCCGTTTATAAGATTAGAGTCTTAGATGGATAAACCCATAATATTTTTCTCTCTCGAAACATCTTCTTTATCCTCATCTACAATACAATAAAAAATGTTAATTAATATATATTGAAACATAAAATAATAAATAAATAAATTAAATTAGATGGGTTGGTGAGTCAATTTGGCTAAGTGAACTGAGTTCTGAGTGGGTCGGATTGAAAATTGACCCGTATCAAAAATTACATTTTTTTTCAAATCTAACCTAACCCGAACATGTGGTGAGTCAGATTGACATCAGTAGTCTAAATGATACTCTCAATTAATATTATATAATTATAATTTATTTCTCCATTTTGATATTGGATAAAAAATATATATTCTTTTAATTATTGAATAATTAAAAACATCACGTTTTATATATGAATTAGTAGAAAGGTGTATTTAGGTGGAGGACAAATCCATTAACTTTTATTTTGGATTTTAGATGGAATAATAAAATTTACAACCATCCTTACTTATTGACATCTCATGTATAATAAAAAATATTCTTATCTTATATTTTATTAAAAGGTATATTTTTCATTATAATTACTAGTAACACATATATACATCAACTTTTTACTATAATGAAAAATAAAAATATATTATGAGAATCATTAAAATAAAAATAGTATTAAATTATAAAAAGTATAAAATAATTAATTTATACAATTTAATTATAAATATTTTTAATTAAACATAACCTCTAAAATAACAAGAGAAAAAAAACTAAATATATTTTTAGTTTTTAAACTTATACCATCTAAAAATTCGTTCTATTTCAAAATTTTCATATATTTTAAAATTAAATTTAAAAAAATATATAATCATTTTAATTTAATTGTGTTAAAAAAAATTAGTGTCAAATGTTTGAATTATTTATATCCTTTAAAACCATTCAAATTAAATAACAGATATAAAATATCATTTAATAAAAAAGAATTAATATCACATTATATTAAAATGAGTACATCTATTATGTTTTAAACTTAAAGATAAAAAATGTATAAAAGTTTGAGGAGGCTATCAATTCCAATTTCACCAAGATTTAGTTTAGAAACTTAAAAATATAATTAATTATAAAAATTTTACAAACACAATATGTAGCTATAACAATAAAAGTTTTATAAATAATATAAAAATATAAAATGAAATTATTAATATTACCTTTTACTATTTCATATTTATTTAAAATAATCTAAATTTTTAATTTTACTCTAATTTTCGTCTTTTCCTTTTATTTCAGTCTCAGACATTCCCTCTCTTATTTTTAAACAAAGGTTAACATCCCCATTTCTGCAAAGAGAGGAAGTAAAACCACATCTGAACCTTGTGGTTGTGGCAATGGCGGAGCCCTTGCCATCGATATTTGGGACGGGGAAGGTCACGGTGAATTGCCCGTTCTACTTCAAGATCGGCGCGTGTAGACACAATGATCCGGGGCGTGTAGGCACAATGATCGGTGTTCTTTCCTCCACATGAAGCCGTCCTACCATTCTGTTCTCCAACATGTAGCGGCAGTCCGATAAACAAGATTTCAGCACCACGGATAACATGTGACGATCAAAGGACACGGGTTGGCGATTGGTGAAGGAGAAGAGGATATTCGTGCAATTGGGCACAACAAGAGTAGGATGACACAAGCTTGCTTCGAATGAAGTCATTGCTTGAAATGCCTAAGGTGATGGTCATCACATGGATTTGTTTTAGATTCTTTAAGTGCTTCGCGGAAGAGCAAGCGTCGAGAAGTGTAGTGTAGAGAGGCACGAGTTCGCGAAGATTAGCCATCATCTTAACAAGTACACCATATGCACGCAGCGAAGCTGTTTTCAACTTTATAAACAATGTTTCACGAATTATATATATTTCTTAAAACATGCATGCCTTCGCTAACACGGTCCGATAATATTTTACTGGATTTGGTTATGGGTCACGGTTACTTTTTGTTCCCATTACTAGGTTTTTTCACTATGTTGTATAAGTTAGATATTTGGGTGTTTTTTTGAAAATGGAAATGATTCGCTTTCGTCATCTTTGTGACATTGCTGTCATATCCAACTGACTTGCGTCAGCATGAGCATAGATAGATATGAATAGAAGCTCAAGGTTAGTTATTGCAGAAGCATATCTGCATATACATATTTTTGTGGTATTCGGGTGAAAGGAGCCAGAGCACATCATGTCACTGTTGTTCATGTCCAATCCATGAATGAGCTGTGTGCACGATATGTTTTTGCAGGTAAAAAATATTCCATCATAAATAACACTGGCTTTCTTCTCTTTCCTTTTACTCCAAAGTATATATCCATCATATTCACTGCTTTTAGTTAACTTTGAAGGATGCATGCTTTGAATACTACTTAATCAACAAAGCTAAGTACAAAAACATGACATACATAGATATATATAACTAATGTTACTACAAGTCAAAGTACTGATACATTTGAGCACCCATAAACATACACCAGGAAATGGGGTGGCTGAGGTGAAGGAAAACGAGAAATACAAAGAGATAATAAAAAAGAAAACGAGTGTATGTTTATATATTTTTTTTTCAATAAACATATGCCATAGATGTTCACACTGATAACAAAAACTAGGGCAAAGCAGGTTCAAGTGGTGAGTTTAAGGAGTTTGAGGTTTTTTGGGGTTGACACCATTATGATGCAGCGGGTCTGGACCTGAAGGAACCTTCCTTAACTCCCAACTCAGTGGCTTTTCACCATACTTGATGCTTGATGATCCTTGCAAAACTTTTAGAGCAGTTTTCTTATTCTTCAAAAGAGTCAGCGCCTGCATAACGCAATTAAAGTTACAGAAATGAAGAACAACATATACGCATCCCAGAAGATATGTTCCAAAAACATCATTCTCATATGTTATGGTCGTATAAAATTAAGTGCCAAAAAGAGAAAAACCCTTTGAAATGTGAACATCTTTTATATATGTTAAGTGTGACAGACCTTCCTGTTTGGAATGTCCCCGAGACCAGCTGCATTAGCACCAAAGCATTCATATGCAGAACCACAACCTGCAATAGCAATAAACATGAATAAAACAGTTATTACTCCATGCATTTGTTTTGTTCCTCTACTAACAAGAAAAAAGAACATTGACAAACCAGAAGGCTCCCTCGTAAGAAGCAAGCACAGAAGCATTAGTAAAACGAAAGTGGTAAAAATCAACTTTGATGCCATTGAAGAGAAAAAAGCCTGAGAGAATGAAGGAAGGGGTGCAACTTTTGCACAGGGAGAGGAAGGTGTGTTGTGAGGTGAAGATGAGAATGGTGTGGAGTTATTTATAGTGGTATGATTCAAAGTTTAGAATGATGGCTCATGCAGCCATTTTAAAAAGAAATGATTAAAGAAAGTAAAGCTAAAATTTAATTATTGAAAAACACATTCCATAGATACCACTGCTATCTCTGTGACAGCGCCGTCTTGTTTGGTTGTCGAGCCACCTGAAAATCACCTGGTGGCAGGTGCCAACAATGCAAGTGTCCATCTAATGCATCATGCCAAAATAAACTCACGAGGATATGCTTTTCCTTTTTTATTCCTATTATTTTTTAAAATTATAATATTTAATGTTTTTTAAGAATATAAGATTCAAATCGAAACATATGAATATGTCTGCTACAGATTTATCTCATTGTGTCTTTTATGGGAAGAATCTGTACTACACACACAGAAATCTAATGGCTCTTATCGAAATACTAATGAGTTGTTTTTTAAACTAAAAAATCTTAGTATAAATGTAGTTTTTACTTACGTATGTGTGTGTGCAGTTTAAGGTAAACGTAGTGATGATGGGTTTTGGCATTTGGTGGAAACAGAATTAGAGTGAGAAGGGAAGATTTTGAGTATGATTTTTGGTTTTGAATTGAATTGGGTGATAATCTATATCCAATGACAACATGATCAAGTCATAGTAAAGGAAATTTTTTTGAAAAGATGAAATGACTGATTGATGTGGTTGGTGGCATCTTTGGCACAAAAGTGAGATTTTCATGGTGCTGGGCTGAAGATGCGTTTGCAGTAACAAGACCTTCTGAAGATCTAACCATTATCATTATCTTTAATTCATTCCCGCACCATAACATGCAAAATCTCTATCACATCACCTTCTTTTTTTTTTTTCTGATAAATAAAAAATAAAACTTTTTGAAAGATAATGGAAAGATTAAATTTTTGTTAACAAAATCTAAATTTTATGATTTTTTTTTTACTTTTACAAGCAACTCGTCTATAAACCTAATTTTAAAAAATTTTGTCTAAGCAATTAGATTTGCCACTAGTTAAAAAACCAAATTTTATTTATTAATAAGATTAATAAATAAATTTTTCTTGGTTGTATTCCAAAGAATTTGGTAATAAAGTATGCGTGATTAGTTATTGAAATTGTTTTGTAAATAATTATAAAATACTTTTAACATAATTAATTATAGTTAAAAATATTATTTTGATTATTTACATTCGTAAAAGAATGTTTGTAATAATTATATTACTATTGTATTATATTATAATGTCATATATTAAATATAAAAGTATACATTTTAATAAAAAATATATATGGTAACACATATTTAAAGTAATAAACTATGATCATAGTAAAATTAATTAATTAATTAAATATTGATATTTAGAAAATTAATTTATTTTTTAAATATAACTTTTTTATTAAAATGTATTATTATTTTTATTTAAATTATATTTTAAATCTAATTTAAATTTTTTATAAATTATTTTCTATATAAAGCTAGTTTTAAAAAATTATTTTACAAATATGTTAATATACAAAAATATTTTATTATATCAAAGTAATTACAAACTTTCTACTATCTTTTTTTCATCTAAACAATTACTCTTTTTCTTTTCTTTTCTTTTTATCTCTTTATAATCAATTTTGACTATCCTTATATAATAAGTTTTAACTAGAATACTGATTAACAAGTAACAATTATTTCCTTTATTCAAATATAACAAATTAGTCTGTTATGTGACTATATGATTTTTTTTTATCAAATGAGAAGAAGCGGAAGAAAGTGAATGTGATTTGGTAAATTTCTTCATATATATGTCAAAGTAATTACAAACTTTCTACTATATGTTTTTCATCTAAACAATTACTCTTTTAATTTTTAAGGGGATTTTTATTTTATTTTTTTAACTTTTTTATGAATCTATCGATAGAAACTTCTTGTAACAAATGTGAAGAAGTGGAAATTACTTTCCTCCTAACTAAAAAAACATTTTCATGCTCTAAAAATCGATTTTGAGATAATATGTTACTCATAATGTGGTTTTATTTGAGTTTCGTGATAATATAATAACAAAAGTTAAATATATTTTTGTTTCTTAAATTTAGTAAAATTTGAAATTAGTTATTCTTTGAAAATTTAGTCTAATTTATCTTTTCATTTTAAAAATGTGTAAATTTACTTTTTTTTTAATTGGAATTTGTTAAGTTTATTTGACGTTTTTAAATTTATTTCATAGTAATATTTAAGTTGTTTATATCGCTTCAAATATTAGTTAAGAAACATCACATTTATGCTTCAATGAAAATTTGGTTGAAATAATTAAATTTATACATTTTTAAAGAGTAAAAACTAAATTGTTCCATAGTTTTGAAGAGAGTCTAATATCTATTTTCATTAAAAGTTAAAGAAAAAAAAGCATAATTAACCATAATAATAATAGTAATTTATTTATTTATTTACATTATTACTATTATTCTCCAGTAATTTTGAATTGGTTATATGTAACTGACGAGAGAGGACAATCGTAATCGATTCTGCATATTTAAATAAAAGAGGAGAATCGATTCTCTTATTATATTTTTAAATGATTTCACTTATATAGGTTAAAATCACAAGTACATATAGGTAATTTAGTTTGGACTGATTTAACTTTCCTTTCCCATCTCTTCAATTGTGCGTAGAATCTCTGTTAAGGTTACTTCCAAATTGGCACTCGCATTTCGCTGCAAATTCGTCAAAACAAACAGCATCAACACTCGATACAAAAACAACGTAAACGAGTGACTATAATATTTTTTAAGGCGTCAGGTCATCTCTCCTCCAAAATTTTCTCTTTAATATATATATATATATATATATATATATATATATAATTGTATTTAAATTAATACTTAAAATTCTATTTCAAACTTTCTCTCCAAATTTATTTCTGATTTTTATTCTCCAAAATTTTCAATCAAACTCTATAGATGTCTAAAATATTATTACCACCCTAAACAAGCCCAAGATACAAACTAATTTATAAGACAAATTTTAGAATGGGTAGTTAGGTTTTTGCCTTCGTATATTTTGTGCTCTATTTTTCTCCTTCCATTTTATTAAAACAATATACTTTATGTATTTGAGTTTATGTAAAGTAACTTTCTACCCTCTATGAGTAGCATCCTACCCTCCAACTTTTTTTTTCATTAATGGTGTATTTGGTGCAATAAATTTACTATTTATGAAAGGATTTTAAAGATGTGGTAGATGTGTTTTGAATGGACTTCAAAAAAAAATTTGGAGTGAGAAAATTACATGAGAAAGTAAGGGATTTTTGGACTTATTTATTTATTTAGTTTTTATTTAATTATTATTGTCAGTTAATAAATGATATTTTTATATTAATAATTATTTTTTAACAAATAATTCATTTTCCCTTTTTTATATAATCATTTTTATAACAAGAAAATGTATACATTTTTAAAAAGACAATTTTGAATTTACACTACTCACTAACCTCTCTCGATTAAATTAAATCAATTAATGTTTATCAATCAATTTCTTCTCAAACTCACTATCTTTCCGTTAAACTAAACCATCTCTACTTCTATTCACTTTTTCTTCGAATCACTCTCCATCACAATTCCCTCCTTCTACCAAACAAAGCATTAATGTGCCTACACAACTTTTCAGCAACAGAGCATTCAAGACAATTCTGATTTTCATTTTAGCAGTAGTTTATACACATCTATATTTTCCGTTTCCTTTTTTTTTTCCTAGATCCATGATGTTAATATACTTAATTTAAAAATTAATATTAAATCTTTAAAAATCGATTTACAAAATAAAATTTACATTATTTATAATTATAAAATCTTTTCATCTTTAATGTGAATCTCCGATAATAAAAGAAAACACAAAATTTTGGTTCAGCCTTATTTCTTAAACTAGAACAAGATGCAATGCATGCAACGTTGTCCTACTCATTGTTTATTCCTGCACGATAATTGTATACTTACCTTACGCATTGAATTGAAAATCAGGCGTTAAATCGTTGTTGGAGATGCTACGTTAGGTGACAAATTAATGGTTCATTTAATCGTTGTTGGATAGGTGAATACAAGTAATAGCACCACCTTCCATTCGACTAAGATATGTTTGTTTATATTTAAGTTTAAGGAATTGAGGCGAAGTCTACTTTTTACAACAGTTTTTTTTATGGTTAGGTTGAATTAAGAAGTTATATACAGAAGGCTCTTGTGTTAAAATTAATAAATATTTAACAAGTAATCAACCTATTATAACATCTATTTATAGAGTTCGATATAAATTTTAGATAATATTAATTTAATTATGATCTAATTAATAATAATTTAATTTAAAATTAATATAATTATTTTTAAAATTAACTTCAGTTTTAATCCGACCGTTTCATCGATTATATATTAAATTATAGATTAGTTAACCTTCCAGTTTAAACTGACCAAACATAATATTATATTATAGAACTCATATACATATTTTGTATAAACGCAGTTTAAATATTTAATTCTCTCTTATTTTATAACGTGATTTTAAAACAGAATTTCATATTGAAAACAAATAATTTATTAAATATACAGTGATTGACCTACAATCAGCTAATCAGTTAATATAAAGGTCACCCTATATAGCCTGTAATTGACCACCACCAGGTAATGATTAAAGTTACTGATACTCTCTTTATTGTCTTTCATTTTCCTTTTTCTTTGTCATATGCTAAGAGTTAAGAAAAGGAAGTAACAGAAGAGAAAACAAAACTGTGGAATTGGAACCAAAGCTGCTAGTTTACAAGAAATACACAAAGTGCATTCATTGTTTGTTCCTTTTTTCAATGGTTATCTTAGGAAAAATTAATCAGCTCTTTTAATCATTATTAGATTTTTCTTAATGACAAAATATTACATTTAAATATAATAATAAATATAAATATAATTTTAGAATGAAATATTAATATATTTAGTTATGTAAGTAATTTTATAAATTTAAAAAGTAAAATTTATATATATATATATATATATATATATATATTAGTTTTTTTTTACTTTTTATTTTAGTGTGTATATTAATATTGACATACTTAGTTAATTTTATCTTGTATTCTTTAGGTTTAA